GACACACGCGAGACACACGCGAGACACTGCAAGACACACGCGAGACATCAGCAAGACAACACCAACATTAGCAAGACTCAAATAAGAGGGAATCACTGCACGGTCACAAAACCTACTGGAAACGATGATGGTTTGGATGTTTTACCACAATCCTGGGTCCAACGAAATGGACTTTTTGAAAAACATTGATTCTCAACATGTTCCGGTGGGAATCGTTGAACAAACCAAGAAAAAAACAAAAACGTCCATGGGATGCAGCGCACTTCTTTTCCATCTTGAAACTTGAGTTGAAGTCGTCACTTCAACTGGTCAAAGAGCGCGGCTCAATCGCGGCCATCTTCCAAAATCATCTTGATTGAATCGAGAAGTGAGGCAGCAAGCTCGCGGCGGCTGCTGTGAGCCAAACTTCCAGCCGCTTCGCTCGAGGTGCCAACTTCAGACTTGTCCGCAGAAGCGTTTGCAGACAACTGAACCTCGGACCCTGGCAGTGAAGGCTTTGCATGACTCCTTGCCTTCGCTGAGGCTGAGGAGCTTTGCGATTTGCCACGAGTGGCCCGCAGCGCAAGGTGCTGTTGGGATCTAACAGCTGCCTCTTCACTGTCGGGATGACTCTGCCATATGTGTTGGCTCAGGGAATACTCTGAGTCTGTCCTCATGACCTTCCAACAGATTGGACACGTCAAGGGAGCACCGGGAGCACTCGATGCCTGCTTCGATTCAGGGCGGCTTGCAGTGAGCTTCACTTCTTTGCCTGGTGCTGGTGACTCCGACTCGCGTTCTGGAAGATGGCGCTGCATGCGCCGCAGGCGTTCCAGAGGTGTGCGTGATCGGGACTTCAGCTCGGCCTTGGACTTTCTAGGCTTGCTAGCTTTGGAATGCTCACTCTCCCGCTTGCGGTGAGATTTCTGCTTTGAAGCCTTTTTGCGCTCAGACTCAGACCTCCCTCGACGGCGGCGGCGGTCACGGTCACGGCGTGCAGAACGGTGCCGGTGTTCTCGTTCTCGTTTCCGCTCTGAGGGTGGCTTGTTGTGAGGCGCAGGCTCAGCTTCTCGCAACGGTCGCTCATCCTTGTCCTTGTCGCCAGGGTTTTCTTCTTCGCCCAGGATGAGTGTTTTCTCTGAATCCTTTGTGGGTTCGCTGTCCTCAGAGCTGCTTGAGCTCAAGCTATCTTCTTTTGTAGCCGGCGCAGCTTTCAGTGGAACCTCGGATGGGAATGCTATGGAAAGAGGTCTGAGGCACTGGCACTGAATACATCAAAGAATGAGTTTGGGCCTTATATGGTAAGTTTTGATTGTCTACTCACTTGGGTTGTCTACGGCCCCGCAGGTTGCGTTCAGCCTCCACAGGTTGTGGGCGGCCTGCCTTGACAGGTTGCGCCCAGCCTGCAGAGGTTGTGAACGGCCTGCGGGGTTGCGTAGAGCCCAAGGAGTTGACAACGCTTACTCACCATTCGGAAGCCCAAAGTACACAAAAAAATACTTAAGAATGTGAAGCAAGGAACCGGCATGAGCTTCCAGAAGACTCGCAGGACCATGCCAACACTTAAGCCGCAAAACTCTGGCAAAACAGCAAGTGGGAAGGACCGAGTTGCTGGCTAGTTGTACTGCCATGCGCAAAATCAAAACACTTATGGGTATGTACTGCCATGCACAAAATCAACACACCTATCACGCTCAGGCCATGTGCGTTCTGATGTGTCCAGCACCTGAAATGAAACGCAACGCTGCGCATGAACCAGAAGTCTGGAGGAAAACACCACATATAGGTAAACAAATGTGATTTTTTTAGCCTACCTCTTGCGCGCGAAGAAAATTCTTCACTGCCTGCGCGGACGGCGCGGCAGTCTTATGCAATTCTGCATCCTTGTGAGACTTACCTGCAGCATTCCAGGCGAACAGCCACGCTGCAGCTTCTTTCTTGCTGCTGTGATTGCGAACGAAAGTGTATTTTCTGCAATTCTTGTGCCAAGTGCATTGAATGAAACAGCGCAATTGCCCTGACTGGTGGGTGTACCTGTCGTACAGAACGTGTGCATCAGCATACTGGGGCTCTTTGCATGCCACTGGTTCCACTTGAAGGTCTTCTTCGGGTATGACCAATGGCTCAGCGTGAGCAATTGCTCGGGGCTTGCTTTCCACATTTGTTGACTTGTTCCGTTTGGAGTTGTAGTCGAAAATGTTTTGCTCTGTCATCTTTGCAAAAGGAGCCAGGTTGCCAGCTTTCATCATGTCTGTGTAGTACGTTGCAGGCCCATGGTGGTGAATCTTTTTCAAGTTTCCTTCCCGTTCGAAGAGAAGATCGCTGAGACTCAAGGCGCGAAAGTAAGCTTCCGGCCTGCGCCAGATATTAAACACCAACACTTTTGCATGGTCCTTTCGAAACCATGACAACTCAGACCCTGGGTCTGCAAGCTCCCAACCATCCTGAAGCAAAGACAAAAAGATTTGAACTTTGCCTGAGAGGCGCCCATTGCCAGCAATGGGTGAGCCACTCAAAAGAATGGGTCTGGGGTTTGTCAGCTCCAAGCCCGGAGACAACTTACATGCGTCTGTGAGCCAAACACAAGTGTCCACAAAAAGGTCTGACTCCTTGAAAATCAACCCACTTTCTGTCAAGGTGTCCAAGGCTTGTGTGTTGAAATAATCTAAATCCCACGGAGAAACTCCAGACGCTCTCGAGAAAGCTTTCTTAGAAAACAAAGACTGTATGGTCCGCTGTTCTGGAATCGAGACAGGACGGTCTCCAGTTTCAAACACTGTTTCTTTCTCGCCTTCATCATGTAAGGCCAATGCTCCATCATCTAAGAGCTTCTCCAAGGGATCCTCATCGCAAAGGAAATCAGGAAGGCAAAGGGGAAGGGCTGTTGCGGACATCAAAGGCTCCATGCGAACAACCAACTGGGAACATTGGCAGTCCCACACTGTGGTTGTGGAACAGAACTCCTGGAAAGACTCCAAATCTGTCCAGCAAGAGACATCCAAAATGCGATGTTGAAGAGTTGGCATGCTTATTTGCACCTTCTTGACTCCAACCCACTGTCCATGAGGAAAATATGAGACATGGATGAGCCCTGAATGTTTCTGTTGCTGCCGGAGCTTCACAGTAACTTTGCTCTCCGGGTGAGCCTCAACAACTTGAAACAAAAGTTGGGAACGCAGTTCATCCTCCCCCACTGCTTCTGCGGTCGTGAGCGCATCATGCAACTCCAGAGGTGGAATTGCAGCCGGTTTGCATGGCAAAATGCCATTTGCAGCCTTCTGCCACAAAGAGTTTGAGATGGAGGCAAAGGTTCCATTTGCCAACATGCTCTTGAAGAAGTACACCAGCTGCCTGCTCTCTTCGCAAAGATCCTGGTGCACAGCCTTCGGGGTAGCATCTTGGGTCGTCTTTTGAACCAAGGAAGCCTCTTTCTCCCATTGCTCCATATCGGCAAAATGATCTTGGCGATCGCGCGCGTAAACACGTTTGCATCTTTGCGCAAAAGTCAAACGGAAAACATCAGCGGGAGGCAACACATGCTCCAACAATGAGGTGAAAAGCTTCCTGGAGTGCCACATCTCTGACAACCATTGCATTCGGGCAACAATGAGTTCGCGAACTTCAAGACGGCGTTTTCGCGCAGCTATGACCACAGGACCTGCAAAACGAAAACCCCGCATGCTTGAGAATTTAACCATAGCATGCTCACCTTCTGTCCTTCTCTCCGCGCACAAAACAAAGGCAAGGCTTCGGACACGCAAAAAAGCATCTGGGTACTCATGCAATGGCTTGGAAACATCAAAAGCAAAGCTACGCAATTGGCCAGTCACAGCCTGATCCTCCATTAAAGATGATGACAATGCATCTCTTTGTCGAGGCTGCAGGGACTCATACTCCTTTATGACCTTCCCAACAGCTTGCTTTGCGTCCAGCAATGAGAAACCGCAGTAGGCTCCAAAGCCCCCGGCAAAAAGATAGGGTATTGACTGGAAGCAAGCAAGCTTTTGACACATGAGCCTGCAAAATCCTTGTTTGCACAAACTATCTATCTGCACCAGCCGTCTTGCCTGTTCGGGATCAGCCTGCAACAACGCGGCTGTCAAACCCGAGGACCCTGAATTGTTCACTCTCTGGCGCAGTGTCTCTAGATGACCCAAAGCAAAGGCCGGCAAGCGCCTACCCTGCCACGGGCAAGACTCGCCATGTACACCCTGCTCTCGCAAAATTTTCTTTCGCTGCCACCTGTTCCTTTGCTCAGCCAACACCTCTCCATGGCAAAAGCAACCTTCAATCCAAGATGCTTCCTGGCCAACAGCAAGGGAGAAAGCTGCAATCCACCGCAAAAAGAGCAAGTGCCACGGCGAGTCAAGCGCCGCAGAAACCCTTTCCACCATTTTGGTATTGGTGTCGGAAAAGATGTTTGGGCGCCACTTCTGCTTCAACACAGGGAAAGTTTCTAACCATTGTTGAGAAACCATTTGCAGGCTTTCCCATCTCCAAGACAAAAGTTTCGATTTGAACTGAAGCAGGGCGGCCTTCTCATCTGCAGATGCATCCCCAAGCATCTTTTCCAGAATCAATGCTTGGGATGAAGGTTCGGCAACTAACTGCGTGGCTGCGCTCAATTCTTGTTCCATGAGCTTCCATTCGGGCAGAGCAACGATGACCTCTTCTAGCGCATTAAAGAAGATATGGAGCAATCCTGGCATTGAACACGCAAGCGGGAAAAGCTTCGGGTCATCGGCCGAGCCTGCGCTGGGTTCTTTAGAGAAGTTAGAGCAGAAGGTCGCCAAATTGCCTTCCAAGTTCACCGGAAAATCTGCCAAAAGTCGTTCGACGCCTTGGTCTGAGAGAAACGAAACAACCTGACGCCTCCACAGCGGCAGCGAAGCGGATCCATATTCCAAGCACGCACCGTGAATCAGCAAACGGGCCTTGTGAGCAACACTGGCTTGACCTCTTCCAAGTGTCAAGGCTGGAAGGCTTCGACGCTCAATTTCCAATCCGGTTTTCAGAGGATCGAACAAATCAGCATCTTCTATCACAAATGGTAGAGATTGTACCAACACTTCCTCGATGGTACAAAAAAAATTGTGCTTTGCCTGTGGCGAAGCATCGCTGGATAAATAGCGTGAAACCATATTTCTTCTTGCTAGTTCAACAGGGGAATGAAAAACCCTTCTACTCAACATCAAGCACAGGTCCAATTTGATCAAAATTCGCCTCATGCACTTGTAGTCTGGAATTGGGGGGCACAGGCAATGCTTCGTGGACCTGCTGGGACTGAGCGCTGCCGCAAATGATCCTATTGCATAAAGTCATCACTTCGCTTGCATGGTCAGCATTCGGCAGAAGAAAGGACAACTGCCCAAACAAGATCTCTTGCATGGGCGACCGCTGTTTCCTTGGGTCGCCCCAGTTGGGCCCTCTGGAAGCATAATCTTCACGACTTTCAAACTTCGAGGGTCTTGCAAAAGGATCAACAGTCTCACGTTCTGGAAGAACTGGGGCAGCAGCCGGTTCCAGTTTGAGCGCGCTACACATATATATCGGAGTGATAAATGTGCAATCGGAAAAACGTGGAACTTTGAAGAGATAGGTGGCAGAGTGGTGGCCCCACTGCCTTGGGAAAGAAGCTTGCACAGGCGCCACTGCTGTAGGCGATTTGCGCAAGCAAGGTTTGTCAACCAACAGGCTGGCAATGGCTGCAGGTAGCTTTTGAATGGGCTGCACTTGGTTCCCCTTAAACTTGTCTCTTGAAACACATATTGTTGGTTCAAAGAAACAAGCATCACTGCACTCCCACAGAACAAACGTGTCTGCCTCTAAGTTTGCTGCACTGCTTGCACTACCAAATGTGAGTCTACTTTTCTTCGCCCTGCCTCCTTCTTCTGCAATAAACTTGCACCACAAGTCTTTGTGTCTCTGGTGCTCCGAAAGATTCATCTTTCGGGCACCTGTCACCCACATGGCAGCATAGAGATCCACACCATCAGATCCAGCAAGGCCAAGAGGTGTGCACAGGACAAGCACCGCAGGAAAGAAATTAGCTCTTTCCCTTCGGCCTTGCTTCCCCAAGCCTTTTGCTAGGGACGGTGGCGCCAGAGGAAGAGGCTCCATGACAACGCTACACGGAAGAGAACCAAACTGAACATACATGGCACTATGGTCCGTAAATGGTATACAAGGTAAACATAGGTGTGAACGCTGAAACGCTAATTGC